CTGTAGATAAATTGTCGGAGGAACTGTATCTTTAGTACTGTTTTAGGCTATTTTGCGTGGCCAAAGAATGGCCATCTAACTCAAGTAACTCACTTCTCTATTATATACATCATGATACGAGAAGATTAATAATTGCATATTTTACTTTATTGGAGACTTCGCCAACAAATAAAGCAGAGTATATCTGAACTTTAAGTAATGGAATGATTCGGATAGAAACAAAAAGACTATGTCGAACTTTTGCGAACAATGACCCCCTCCCCTTCCTTAGCCATACACTACCTTTAACTCAGATTAAGCAGATTCTCTATGACGATGACCCGACGACTTGCTTCTCCTAGCATGTTCTTCCTTCGACTAGCTATGATTCGGTCCTATGTCCAGATCAAAAATCCGTGCAGATCCCTGAAAGTGCACTTGAACTGTATTTCGAACAGCCGCATTGGTATCCGGACCAGCGCAGACTATTCAATGGTTAAAAAACCGAGTAAATCGCAAAGCGTATAGCGAGTTACACACCTATGACTGCTATCTTTCCACGCTGCTGGTCAATATACCGCCTCATTTCTATCTTAAAGTCTACTGCACTAGTATATAACCATAATCGTTTTCCTATTCGTCGACCTTGACTAGACGGGCTCTCGGAGCTGGGCTTTTCGCAAAAAATTCGAAATTGCAGAATCTTCGTGAGCCTTCGTTAGTAGTGACCCTAAGGTCTGTCTCGGCCTACTTATATCAAAATGATCCCGGTCGGTATCAAATATCCGCTGCCTCCACTGCTTATACTATTCGGGGTTATCTATTCAAATCGTGAGTTCTCCCATAAAACTCTCGTCAACTTCGCCTGACTTACGAAATGGCCTCTCACGTTTCCAAAGAACTTCAACCCGACGCACTATAGCTCTTCTTTGGCAACTTGCGCGAAGAAGTATCTTAATGTAGGGGAGTGCTCGGAAAAGACCAATGTCTTCCAAGGCGAAGATAATTGTTCTATAACAGGATAGCTCGAGTGAGCGCCCGTACGGCCTAAAGACCGCGACGGGCTGCCTCCGAAAAGCCTTTTGTGTCTGCTGCAGCCGGTAAAGATGGTAAAGGGCTCGGTTGAGCTTGCGTTGGGGTCGAACGACTATGTGTATGTTCCACTTTTCTTTTGGACCTTCGAATTCGCAAACAGAGACATAACACAGGATATGCTGGCTGAGCGCTCGCTATCCGGCCCGTGGAAACTATAAGTAAATGTATTGACCGGGACTGAATTGTCGATTCGATTTTATTGATAAATCTATCCAAAGAATGCCGTCCGCCGCGGAGAGGCGGACTGTCGTGCTTGGGGATTTCTAGGGTAGATATGCAACCAGTGCTCGTAGACCGAGAAACGCTGTGCAAACTAACCACCAACAAATGGCCCTAAGCAGTGTCCAACGGTAAGGTGAATTTTTCTGTATAAGGTGATGACCCGTTCCAGCGACTATGAAGCATATCAAAAGGTAGTGACATTTCAAGGCAAACTGCGGATGATGCCCTCGGATAAACCTGGAGGTGACGATTCCGGCTAGGATGAAGCTTACCGTAGCCTACTTGAGGTTAGTAAGCGGGGCCTCTGAATTACTAGACAATCACTCACAAGTATCGCCACAACTTGGCTCGGTCGTGTCATTGTCATAGTTTCGGGGGATTCGAATATGAAACATGCGTGGAGGATCGAGTGAACTATTGAAAGAAAGCCGATCCAACGATGAAAACAGGCAAATGTGTTTCTCTCAATACGGAGAATTTCCGCCGGTAGACCGAAATGCATTCCAAAGCATAATGGGACCAGGTGGAGTACAGCGAGCGGCCCAGCTCTCCTCATGATGGTGTGCCAAGAGTCAGCACCAAAGACCAACAGCAGAATGTTTGTAGCCAACAGCACAGCCACAAACAAGCCTTGGACCGTGCCATTAATGTCAATCCATCTAAGGCACACACACCCAATGAAATACCCTGTCTGGCGCCATGCCTCGGGGACATGAGAGAGAAGACAGGGCCAGAGGATGTATTTCCCTTTCCCCCAGCACCATGCCACAAGAAGGGTCCCATATGCACAAGAGAGCCATACCAGACAGATCACGGCCAGAGCAGAACCGTAAATCTGTGGAATTGATACAGGATGGATCGAAATCAGTTTCACCACTTACACACAGAGACTCTTTCTCGAACCCTATTCCAAAGCACGCTAATCTTTATCTGACTTAGCCTTGCTTCGAGAATCGAAATGTATTGAAATTATATCACGTGATATAAGGTTTTATAAATTACATGAAATGGCCCTGCCAAAGATACTGCCGCCTCGCATTTCCCCCCGGTTGAACCACTTCCGTCATCCTTGCCATTAGCCTTTTGCAAGGGGCGTTTGTCACGATAAAAAGGCTACGGCTTGCGCTTAAATTGCACTGAGTCAATCTACGATACAGAGATTATTCTAGGAAATTACAGAATATCCAGAAATTGCTTGAAAAAATCGTTATGTTTAGCAGACTTTAGAACAGCGCTTGTCGGGCAGGAGAATATACGAGGCTATATCCACCTGGTTGTCGCAGATGCAGTGATTTCCCCGTAGAATTTGAAAACAATTAAAGAAAAAGTGTGGTCACTAGACGCAATGTGTTTCAGGTTAGGCAGGGTTTACTGACTTTGCCAATTATATTATTCTTGAGATTAGCAGGGCTCTTCCGAATGAATTAGTCAATATTATATGTCAGCTAAACTCATCATGAACAATAAAATCAATTCAATGAGACCGTCCAAATTGCAGACTGCTGAGAAACACGCTCCAAAACAGAGAAAGCATTGAAATCATGATGGAAAGCGGAATAGATGGGTTTTGTAAGTCTGTGCCAAGTCCCTGGGGTACAATCCATGCCAAGAAGAATACTAGCAGTGGTGAAACACAGACAAAATTGTAGAAAATGATCCAACGTAGGCTTATGATTTCGCGCGCATAGATCCCCCAGAAATCTTCTCGCTTGTTGCCTGCTTCTTCGAGTTCAGTTTTTTTCTTTGGGAGGAACTTCAGGATGTCAGAGGAATGTGCCCCCAGCCTTCTACATTCATGGTGCAAGTGAAGTAGTGGTCGTGGATTGTGACAGGCGTAGAAACGTTTCGTGAACTCGTGCTCTGAGATTGGCGGAATGTTGTCCATTGGTCTTGGTTGATACTCGTAATCGGTATTCGCATGGTCGGGGAATGAATCTTTGCTTCTGAGCGCGAACTCGTGGTCATCGAACTTGACGAACTGCAAGCTTTATACTTAAAACCCATCCTAAGGTACAAAATAAAAACACTTACTTTGTAAAAGTCACAATGAGAGTACCTCCAAACGCTAAACCAGCCTCGTAAGACACCTCGGAGGCGGAAATACTCCATTTTCATGGTGCTGAAGAAGGTATGACAGGTCATATTGCTAACGCATATTTGTGCGAGTCTATAATCTCCACCTTGCTTAGCGAGAAAGAGGACGCGGTGCTGAGTGGTGCTCATATCGGCCTTGAGTCCTGACGGTGGACGATGAAGTGAAGAGTTAGAGGGTGCACCGCTCGGCTGCTGGCCTCTGTGATCTTGATAGGAGATCTGGCTGGAGTTTAGACTAGTGTTTAGGGCGCTGCGAGGGTTCGGGTCAGATATAATATGTGCCTCTGGAGGAGGCTGCGTAATTTGGGTCGCTAAGGTATCCACGGGAAGGCTTCTGATTATGGACTGGAGGCGTTTGACAAGGGCGTTTGGTACCTCTGCCCATCGCTCTTCACCACATACCTGGATCACGAATTAGGGCTGGATCTATGCTGTGCAAGGTTGTCTATGATTTGTTAACTCACACACTGCCACCGTAACCGTGTCTCTGATTCGGCTAGTGGTCTCGGACAGCGAGGTAATGGCCACCAATCCCAAGGCTCTCCAGTCCAGCGCTCAATTAAATGCTGACAGTGGCTCATGAACCTGAAAAATCGAGAACTAATTTCGTCACGTTCAAATTGAATCCCGAAGGGGCTCACGTGCTGCAACTCTGTAGCAAGATTCCGTAGTTTATACCGAGCAGCATCGGCATGGTTCTTATGTTCTGGATTTGACCACCTGCTCACCAGATCCCGAAACCTGGAGTTCAGCGAGGGTTCAATAAAATCCCGGAGCCCACGATGAAGTATTTGGTAGGCGGTACTTTCCAAAATAAAATGCTTCATTTGATCCAAGTTTTGCAAATTTCCCTCATACGGGTCATCCTCACCAGCTTCCTCTGCCACGGAGTCTTGGTCACTTTCCTCATCATCAGGATCAAGTATCTGGATTACTTCACTTGTTTGAGGAGCAGCGCCACTTCTGTGTAGACTTTGAAGATAAGACTCCACTTTCCTCTCGTCAGCTAGGCGTTTTTCAACAGAGGCGATTCCATTATCTGTCTCTAAATCGTGAGGTTTGATGTTTGGCTGCTCGTCGATAGGTACCATAGCAAAGAGCTCGCGGGTGATCATGGCCGCATATGAGCTTATGAATCTCCTTAGGTCTTGGTGCGATTCGCTGAGGATCTCTGCCTTGAGGTTATTCGCAAAGTGTTTCAATAATCTCCGAAAATTGTTTCGCATCCTCTCAAATCCGACCGAGTCTTTTGATACGCCGATCAAAAGTAAGGAAAACATGACTCCATCTTCATTCAACAAGTTTGCAACTTCTTGGATCAACAGCGAATTCATCTCTCCTCTTGTGGAGTCCAATGATCTGGTGCTAGGCATAGAGACTGGAGCAGAAAACACTGAGTCATTCTCAATGGAGGAATCAGAGTCCACCAAACCCACATGTCTATTGCGTACGGCAGCCTCTGAGGAGAAGCCTAGAGTATGGAGATCCTCTAGCCCTGGCGTCTGCCTGCGAGTCTCCAAAACCTGCACCTCAAGCTGATCGGCCTCTTCCCATCGGCCCTGGTTCCGGTATGTCGACGCCAGATTGGCCATGCTTGTCAGCGTATCAGGATGGTCCGCGCCGAGCTTCATCTTGCGAGTCTCCAAGACCTGCACCTCGAGCCGTTCCGCCTCTTCCCATCGGCCCTGGTTCCGGTATGTCGACGCCAGATTGGCTATGCTTGTCAGCGTATCAGGATGGTCCGCGCCGAGCTTCATCTTGCGAGTCTCCAAGACCTGCACCTCGAGCCGCTCCGCCTCTTCCCATCGGCCCTGGTTCCGGTATGTGGACGCCAGATTGGCTATGCTTGTCAGCGTATCAGGATGGTCCGCGCCGAGCTTCATCTTGCGAGTCTCCAAGACCTGCACCTCGAGCCGTTCCGCCTCTTCCCATCGGCCCTGGTTCCGGTATGTCGACGCCAGATTGGCTATGCTTGTCAGCGTATCAGGATGGTCCGCGCCGAGCTTCATCTTGCGAGTCTCCAAGACCTGCACCTCGAGCCGTTCCGCCTCTTCCCATCGGCCCTGGTTCCGGTATGTCGACGCCAGATTGGCTATGCTTGTCAGCGTATCAGGATGGTCCGCGCCGAGCTTCATCTTGCGAGTCTCCAAGACCTGCACCTCGAGCCGCTCCGCCTCTTCCCATCGGCCCTGGTTCCGGTATGTGGACGCCAGATTGGCTATGCTTGTCAGCGTATCAGGATGGTCCGCGCCGAGCTTCATCTTGCGAGTCTCCAAGACCTGCACCTCGAGCCGTTCCGCCTCTTCCCATCGGCCCTGGTTCCGGTATGTCGACGCCAGATTGGCTATGCTTGTCAGCGTATCAGGATGGTCCGCGCCGAGCTTCATCTTGCGAGTCTCCAAGACCTGCACCTCGAGCCGTTCCGCCTCTTCCCATCGGCCCTGGTTCCGGTATGTCGACGCCAGATTGGCTATGCTTGTCAGCGTATCAGGATGGTCCGCGCCGAGCTTCATCTTGCGAGTCTCTAAAACCTGCACCTCAAGTTGCTCGGCCTCCTCCCACTGGCCCTCAAGTCTGTATGCTATTGCCAACATGGCTATGCTATCAAGGGTCTCTTCATGCTTTTGACCAAGTAAAATCACTCTTTGGTCTCTTGATTTTGCTGCCATTTCTCTTGTATCCGCCACGCTGCCGGCTTGCGACGCATACCATGCACCTCTATAAAGTAGTGTGGCCCATTTCAATAGAGAGTCTGGTGATTTCGGCTGTTGGGACACAGCTAAACGAACGTGAGGAAAGAGCGACCGGCATTTCCCCCAATTTTCATATCGACCAATAGGGAACTCCTGGTACAAATTGCTGATAAACCTCTCCCTCCACTGGTCTATTTCTCCATAGGATTTCAACCACGCGCGCGTAGTTAATTGCACTAGCCTGCTCATCCTGAATGAAGTGCTATTCTTGCTGATAGATATAAATGAATAGTTTCTCAGCATTCCGATATTATCTTCAAATTCAGGGTCAGCATCATATTCAGATATCCCGCCATCGCTAGGGTCGTCAGAGAGCTCTGGATCAGAGATATAGCCAGCCTTAGGTCGATGCCGGATAAGGTTCTCTGGTATCCCTTGCCGATCAAAAAAGCTCATAAGAGAAAGCAATCCCGCTGCAGATGGCTTGGTTTGGCGTATATAATCGAATGATAATTGCCACGTCACCAGAATCGAGTTTTTTGCTTCCCAATCTCGGGAGGAGTGATCTGCCTCTTGTATCAATAACGCTGTTGCTTTACGGTCACTGCCCTGGAAATCTTTTAGGTATTTTGATACCGAACAGCGAGGTGCCCGATTTCGTATATAGCTAGCGGCCTGTACAATCGCTAACGGCATGAGCTCCAACGCGTTCACTAACTGTTGAGCCTCTTGGCTTTCCCCTGGTTGATCGAGGTTTTTTTGGAGAAGTTCTAGCGCTTCAGACTGTTCCATAGGTTCAACCTCGATAAGGTCCTTATGGTCGACTATCTTCAACGCCACCTCTTTGGTCCGACTCGTGATAATCACAGATCCATTTCGGCTTTTAGGAATATATTCCCACAGTGGTTTTGTCAAGGCGTCTGTTCGGCTGTTTATCGGATCTTCCTTACTTGCCACTGAAAATGGGTAAAGAAGTTGATCGTCATCGACATTATCAAGGATTAATAGCCATTTTCCTCTATTGTCATCCCGGAGCCAGTTCTCAACCAGTGCGAATATGTTAACTTTAGGATCCTGACGACCTAGAATTTTAACCTGGTTTGCGATATCCCTGAAACCTTGCTCGAACCGGGCTTCGTTGCTCGCATGAACCCAGAAGACCCATGTTGCTGGTGACTCGAACCGAACCCGGTAGCCGTATTCGATGGCAAGTTGAGATTTTCTTGCCGTTGTAAGCAATGAGTAATAAATCACATACTAACCAGTCGTTTTCCACTCACCCGACACCTCCCAGGCCAACCAGCGCGATTCTCGACCCTGGCACTGAGCTTTTCTCATGGATCCGATGAAGTAGGATGTCGCGACTGACAAAGTCCGGATCGCGATGGAACGGAATAGTTGATAGAGGGCTCGGTGGAGTTTCCGGTCGCACTGGGTAGGATACGGCGATTAGTCACAGTCGCGAGCTTGTCCCGCTCCGCTGACTTACCTAGAGGCCAGTGGAGGACCGAGCCGGTGTTATCTCCGATCTGGAGTCCTTCGTTTTTGCCGCGGAATGACATCGATGCCATAGTCGAATAAACGTGCCTCGAGTACGGAGTATAATTCATGAGAAGGCTTGTTGTCTGCTACTCATCTGAAGGGGTACCTTAGGTTCATCATCAGGTGACTTTCGCGGCGCTAAGAGACGGGAATCGATTGGCAGCAACCCACATAGAACATTCAGTCGGTGAGATTAGCACCTTCCAGGAACTTACTCGGCCCGAGCCCGAACACTCAGATCAAGTGCAACACACGATAACGAGCCTCATCCCATCACCTTTTCCCCGTTTTAAATGGCACGAATAAAAAGTACAGGATCCCGAACTAACGCATGATTTTCCAACCTGCAATCACATTCATGAGGTCCGCAGTATCGAGATGGCCCCCCAAGCTCCCAGGACTGTGAGATTGCTAAGTCACGTGCATTTCCTAATACCTAGCATCCCCCGGACTTTTTACCCAAAATCATTTCACCTGCTCACTGAGCAGAGGGGTGAGCAAGGGTCAGCAGATGGAGTCGCGCCCCCCCCCCACCACCCCGGCATCCTTTCTTAGTGGCCGATCACTGCCCCTGCCAACGCTCAACCCTATCTAGAGCTCTCTGCTCAACATGGCGCCAAGACTCCCTCCCTCAAATAAACCTTGTGATATATGATCAACATTCTAGAAGCCCGAAAGCCATACAAGTCTAATACGGAAGCCGTTTTTGCTGTATTTACAACTGTACTGGAATACTGCCAAGAAACAGAGTCAGGGGTAAATCGACCGCAATGGGTATAGCGTGTTTCGAAAGAGGGTTTGAGATAGAATCTCTGTGTGCAAGTGGTGAAACTGATTTCGATCCCTCCTGTAATGCTAGAGATGGCAGTATAGTGACGGCCTCGAGAACCTAGCAACCGACGGAAGCCGAATTTGAATATTGCTGTAGCTGAGACATAGCAGTACTCCAAGAACCGCGGGTAGGTAAGGCGACGCGATCAGGAGACGGCAGTACCTTCAAGAACCGAGGATCTTAGCTTGCTCCGATAATTGATACTATTGCGATACAAAACGTTGTTGTGTGCCGAGCGGGAACTAACCCCGGACCGATGGCGGACCCACCCGCGGGAGGGCCCGAGCCCTCCCCACAAACACCCAAAGAGGAGCACAACTTTTCACCCGGGAGGACTTCGAACCGATCGTGCCTCGAAAGAGAAGAAGCCCTCGCAATAGAAATGAAGCCACCACCGTTGCTTACTCAAACCCTGAGTTTGGGACCTTCGAAGACAATAACGGACGGGTAACGACCAAGGAGATCCGGCAGCTCATCAACAGCCTAAAGGAAGTCATCACCCACCAGACCACGGTTATCGAATCCACCAAAGCCGAGATCCTAGAGGTCAAGCACGACCAGAATGTCCTCCGAGATCAGAATGAAAAGCTTCACGAAGAAATCAGAGCTCTACGAGAACGAATTGAAGTCCTGACTCCAGCAGCCCCAACCAGGTCGTGGGCGGCTGTGGCGGCTAGCGGCAGCAATAGCTCCCCCCAACCGAGCCACCACCCGCCCGAGAAAGAACAGAATTGCATCCGAATAAGCACCCAGAGATCGTTCGTGGATCCAAGAGACAATGACACTACCGACGGAAACACCTTCGGCCGATACCTCCCCACCGACGCCGCCAATACCCATATCCGTACTGCCCTATTGAACGCCCCGTCTACGCAAGACGCCCAGGTGGCCGGCATCGGGACTACCAAGACCGGTTACATAATCCGCTTTAAGGATCCAGAGTCGGCCGAGGTAGCCCGCAACAACACCGAATGGCTAAGCGAGCTAGGTAATGGCACGAAGGTGGTCAAGCCACGATTCGGTGTTGTCGTGCACCGCACCCCGACAGAGGACTTCGACTTAGAAAACGCGAACACGGAGGCTATTGAGAAAATCATAGAAGAAAACGACTTGGTGGAGAGGGGCTTCCGAATCGAAGAGATTGCATGGCTGAAGAGGAAAGACAAGGTATTAGGGAAGTTTGCATCACTCGGTATCTGGTTCGACTCTGCAGAAGGAGCTGAACACATGCTCAACAACGGGCTCGTTGTTGGCCAACGGTACATCGGCAGCGTGGAACGCCGCGAGATCAAGAAGAAGAGATGCTTCCGGTGCCAACGTTTCGGACACCTAGCATGGTCGTACAAGGAAACACCACGGTGTGGACACTGCGCGGGTCAACATGAGCGGCAACGATGCCCCCCCGGGGTGAGAGCCCGATGCCTCGATTGCAGCGGCGAACACCCAACTGGTGATCGAGAGTGTCCTACCCCCGCCACTCCCAACCCCCTCAATGTTAGAGACAAACCTACGCATACTACAGTTGAACATTGGGAAATCGGGACCTAGGATGGAAGCACTCATCAACGACCATCAAAACCAAAACTTGGATGTACTTCTGATCCAAGAACCCTCAGTCACTACCTATCAAACACATGTCAACCACAGCGCCTGGCGGCTATACAGACCGACTGTTGAAACCGACACATATCGGTTCCGGAGTCTAATTTACGTTAACAAAAGAGTATCAACATCCTCTCACAGGCAGATCCATTGCGATCATCCAGACATTGCTGCCGTCAAGATCTGGACAGCGGACTCTCAGCTCCTGTTATTTTCTGTGTATATCCCATCCGTTCCATTGTGCACCCCGAATGACACATCGGCGGAACCAGCACTCAACGCCATCCAAAATACGATCTCAGCCGCTCTGCGGGATGGTCGAAGGACCACAAGTGTCATCCTGGCGGGAGACTTCAATCGCCATCACCCGACGTGGGGCGGCAACCACATCCAACCGCGGCTCATCGAAGAAGCAAGTGACCTGATCACCTTCTTCCAGGCTCATGGTCTACATAGCTGCCTCCCCCGGGGAACGGCGACATACTGGGCCTTGAACGACCCAGGGAGGAACTCCACTATTGACCAGACGGTGACAAACCGACCAGACCTACTCATCAAATGCCACCTTTACCACGAGAATTACGGGTCAGACCACCGAGCGACGTACTCGGAATGGAACCTCCAAGCTCAGTGCAAGCCTACCACTAAACCAAAGAAGGCTTTTGACCGTGCGGGATGGAACAAGATTGGCGAGGAAGTGGTGCGCCAGATCGGTCCGTGGAAGGAGATTAAAACACGACCGGCACTAGACGAGACAGTGCAGAAACTCATTGAAACAACAACGGCAGCCATAGATCGGTACACGCCTAATGCACGCCCAACGCCATACTCCAAACGGTGGTTCACCCCGATCCTTAAAATTCAACAAACCAAGGTTAACCAGCTACGCCGAAAATGGCAAGCGTCCTGTGCCGAGCTAGGACGAGAACACCCCTCCTCAATAACCCTTTTCCGAGAGATGCAAGAAAAACGACGGGCCTGGACTCGGGCAATCGAGACAGCGAAAGCATCACACTGGAGACAATTCCTAGACGAGGCAGGTGAAGGGAAACTGTGGAAGGCGGCCACCTACATGAGACCCCGAGAAGACTGGGGGTGTATCCCACCGCTACAGGTTGGCACTCGCGAACTTGTTGGAAACGAAGAGAAGGCGCAGGCCTTTCTGGATTCCTTCTTCCCTGAAATGAATACGCCTGGCGACAGTCTACCAACCTCAGCGCCATTGGAACTCCCGTGGGAACCGATCACTGAGCTAGAGATCCAACGATCTCTCAAAGCCGCTAAAGGAACCACCGCACCAGGAGATGACAACCTACCAATGCTTGTGTGGAAACGATTATGGAACCACCTAAAGGGCATCATCACCAAGATTTTCACCGCATCCATCAGGCTAGGCTACCACCCGAAACAATGGCGGAAAGCGAAGATCGTGGTGCTAAGGAAACCCGGGAAGCCGAATTACTCGGTCCCCGAAGCCTACCGCCCGATCTCACTCCTTAACACACTAGGCAAGCTGCTCGAGGCAGTAGTAGCCCGTCGACTCTCGTACCTCGCGGAAAAGAACGGCCTACTCCCGGGCACCCAGTTTGGCGGGCGACCGGGAAGAACCACTGAACAGGCTCTGCTGCTCCTGTCCAACGCAATTGACCGAGCATGGTATAAACATAAAGTGGTAACTCTTGTTTCATTCGACCTAAGGGGAGCCTTCAACGGAGTCAACAAGGCTAGCCTAGACGCCTGCCTACGGGCCAGGAGGGTTCCCACGGTCGTGAGAAAATGGATCGCGAGCTTCATGAGCGACCGCTATGCGAGCATAGGATTCGACGATTATCGTACAGAGGTTGCACTCCTAGCGAACGCAGGGCTCGCACAAGGATCACCTCTCTCCCCGATTCTGTTTATATTCTTCAACGCTGACCTAGTCGACCAACCCATCACCTTCCACGGTGGCGCGTCCGCCTTCATTGACGACTACTTCCGCTGGCGTGTGGGTCGCTCGGCTAAGGAGAACTTAACCAAGATACAGTCCGAGGACATCCCGCGCATTGAAGCGTGGGCCCGGCGGACCGGGTCTAGCTTCACAGCTGAGAAAACCGAGCTTATCCACCTCACCAGGCGAAGGAGCGAACAACTCCAGGGCCAGGTGGTTGTGGACGGGAAAGCAATCGAACCATCACCCACAGCCAAGCTACTGGGAGTAATCTTCGACCAGGAACTACGATGGAAAGAACACGTCCAGCAAGCAATCAAGCGCGCAACCAAGGTCAGCATCGCTTTGGCCGGACTGCGGCACCTACGCCCGGAACAGATGCGACAGCTTTACCGGGCTTGCGTCACGCCAGTAGTGGACTATGCGTCGACCGTCTGGCACGACCCATTACGAGACAAGACTCACCTACGACACCTGAATACAGTCCAACGGACGACGCTTATACGGATTCTGTCGGCGTTCAGGACGGTGGCCACCGCAACCCTTGAAGTGGAAGCACATATCCTCCCTACCCACCTTCGTCTCCGCCACCGAGCCCAAAACACGATCGCAAACCTCCACACCCTCCCTCGAGAACATCCCATCTGGAGTGCACTATCACGAGC